TCAAGAGACGAAGGGGAGCTAGACGCACAACTTGGTCTGTGAGATGAGCGCGCTCGGGTCATCGAGAATGCTCTTTGCGAGCTTGCGCGCCTCGGCCTCTTGAATATGATAGTAGCGCGAGACCATGGATGGATTGAACGTCTGCGCGACGATCTTGCGCTGCGCCCTGAAGGCATTGTTGTAGTTCTGGAGGGGCAATTCTGCGCCGTATCCTGAACTGGTCAGTGCTACATCAAGTACTGTCGTTCCTAAACAGACTCTCAGCGACGCACAGTTCACCCGCCATGACCTACAGGAGCGTCAGTGCACAGACAGACGGCTAAACCCAGGAGATGCTCACGAAATGCGGACGATCAGAATAGATAGCTGACCGTTTATCCAGCAGGTCCCTCGCAACTCGGCTAGAGTTGAGCACGATTATGTGCTCGCCGAGTGCCTCAAGATGTATGGTATCTCCTGCCCATACATGCAATCAGTGAGCATTGTATTTTCGACCCCGGTCTTGAACCACACAAGCGAAAGGTATGCCTGCAAGAATGTAGAGGACGATCCGCTGTCTCAGTCCAACGTGTTTCCTTGGGGATGGCCACGTCCCGATAATGAGGTCAATACCATGCAGACGATGCGTACTATATCTAGACTTGAGCACCGGAATCAGGTCAGACATTCCCTTCCCCATTCTATCTTAAAAAGGTCTTGTTGAGATGCAGAACCTCTCGGTCTAGATAATACCGTACTTTTCGAGTAAGAGATATGTGAGGCACCGTGGCGGAGCCTTTATCCGCAGCTAACCAGATTCATAGGGTGTTGGAAACTGATCACGGGAATAGCAGCTCGCATATCAACTTCTGGACACGCCAGTAGTGAACGAGACAAGAGTCCCCAAAAGCATTGGATTATCCTACGATGATGTCCTCATCCATAGCTCATTGAATGCAGCTCAGTGAGTTCTAGTAATCAGCTGGGTCAATGCGACCACGAATCCCTTCGTAGCGTGCTTGGAGTGAAAATTTACACTATCCACAAGAGATTCGAACCGAGTGCGCACTCCAAACAGTACGATTAAGAGGAGTTAAGGCACTTGTTGACATGCATCTTGTATATGCCTTCACAGGAACAGGCATCACGTCCTCTTTATGTGCTGGAGATGAGGTAGAATCGTAAGAGGACATGCACATAGGGGCGTACATGGAGCGCAGGATTTCAGGCGCAAGTGGCGGAAGTAACAGACGCCTGTCATAACCCTAACCTATGGGCGGACACCGCGTCCAGGAGCAGACATTGTTCTTGCACACTGGGAGTAGCAGCAAGCTGCGAAGAGACACAGCCCATGGCAACAGGCCTTTTCTTCCTTATAAAGCGGAGCAGGGGGAGCGATAAACGCAGAATGAGACACGCCTTCGACCAATTATCGTGTCTAGGACTCACCGTACTTTGCGGCCCACTCCGAATATGCCGACCATGGGCGTATTTGAGGAATATGCAGTGTATTGCCTAGGATTGGCAAACCAGATGGTCCAGGAGGATACGGTGGCCGCGCAATCCCTGCAGCAACCGTCCTTACCACGATGAAGACGACGAATGCGGCTGCTGCTAGAGTGCAGGGGTTGGCAATGACGTTGCGACTGACGGCCGCGAAACCGATAGAAACGCTTGCAGCGAGGAATTTTACCGTGATGGTGAGTAGGTGTGCACACGTATGCCTACGCGACCGAGGAGACTAAATGTGCACGGCGGACATTGGCAGTGAGGTTGACGGAAGGTATGCATATTCTCGCCATATGAACTGCAGACGCTCGCCAGAGATGGCCTGGCAATTCTAGTTACGGTATTCCCATATTTAGCATAGCCGAGGACATCCTCGGACCGCGTCTGAGACTCTTGGACATACGCACGTTTGTTGCGTACAGCGGCTCCCCTGTTCTTGAGCCTGGGCATTGTAAAACCATGTGCATGCCGTATCGACCAGGATGCTTCCAGCATTTATTCATCAGGGACCTCCTGGCATCCAGGCGCAACCAGCTGACCAACAAAAATGGAACGTACTCACAACTCCATACAACCCATGGCCATCCAGAATGATGCTTCTCTCCATGTACTGTGGTGGATCGAACGAGGAGGCTATAGACAAGACTGAAACTACGTGTGAGATATGTCCACATATAGACATACCTCTTTCCGCTGGGGCTTAGTGCCCGGGGCCAGCTGATCCCTCGCGCAGCCGGGAGAGGCCGGCCCCAGCGTCCGGCCGAGCGGCTCTCGAGTGCACCTCCCTGCGTCAATAAGGCCAGAAATCTAAGATGGCCGCTCTCCGGATATTGTCCAGATATCCGATGAAATATAGGAAATAAAATTCAAGTACTTGGCTGATAATTGGCGTATGTTGGGAGATTCGTTCAGCAAACATTACTCAGTCATCATACAATGTTGCATTACAGAACATTCGAGCAGCGACTATATGATATATTTGCCGCCATATCCGGAGCTCCAAATGTCATTTATTTTGGATTTCTTTCGATAATCGGAAACCAAGTATTCAAATTTTATTTCCTACATCTCGTTGGATATCTGGACAATATTTGGCGAGCGGACATTTGAGATTGCTCCCAATGTTTGCCTGTACTGAATGCTACACATCAACTCGCATAATACAGGGGTCAGCGAAAGAAATAGCTTATTCAGAAGAGTCTGACAATTCCACGACGAGCACACCAACAAGATTAATTACCCATTGTGCGCTATATATCTCAGGATTCAAACTGTAGTCATGCTGCAGCAACCTCTAAATTAGGGCCGGGCGATGAACCAAAGATTAAGGTAGGAGTTGTGCACCCCTTCGCGCACATTTCCTTATGAGGCCGGATGCACGATCATAACGACAAATAGGAGTTCTTATATATAATGTGCACAAGTTCGATAAGTGATGCACTGCGTTCGAGGTTTTCTTACAGGCAGGATGATTGGGCGAAGCAATTGCTGCTTGCAGAGTTTGCACTGAACAACCGAGTTCACTCCGCAACCGGGCACTTCCCTTTCTTCTTGCATCAAGGGTACCACCCTGAGATCCAGGTTCAGATCAATCCGATGTCCGCGATGCCTGCAGCCGCCAATCGGCTTAAGATCCTGAAGGAAATCAGGGATGATACGTGCTCCACACTTGAGCTATCGGCTGAGCAAATGAAAGTGTACTACAATAAGCATGTGCAGAAGGCACCGGTCTTTGTGCTGGGGGACAAGGTCTGGCTTGATGCTCGGAATCTTCAGCTGAAACAGCCGAGCAAGAAGCTCAGTCCCAAGCACCTCGGACCATATGCCATGCGGCAAAAGCTCAGAGACTTAGATTATGAGTTGGTTCTGCCAAAGTCGGTGCCTGTGCACCCAGTATTCCATGTCTCCTTGCTTAGCAAGTACACGCGTAGCGACATCCCGGGCCGGGAGCCGGAGGAGCCGCCTGCCATTGAGGTTGAGGGCGACGAAGAGTACGAGGTTGAGCGGATCAAAGATTCGAGAATCTTCCGGCGACAGCTGCAGTACCTCGTCAAGTGGAAGGGTTATGACAACTCGCATACGTCATGGGAGCCGGCGTGCAACGTTGCCAATGCGCCGGCCCTCATAGCTGACTTCCACTGGAAGAATCCCAACACCCCTTGATGCCTCAACACTGCCACCTTTGGGGGTCTCAACTTCCAGCCAATGCCTTCACCGCTGATTGAAGCACGCTGCTGCTCTGGGTGGGAGATGGGCAAGGGTGCCTTGCATGAGGTCATGTGCTGTTGAGGGAGGGATAATGTCACAAGTTGACATGGTGTCTAGCCATTTTTTAATTTTTTCCTTTCCGTGGGCTCGAACCCGTGACCTCTGTACTTTATGCTCAAACAGACAAGTCGTTATCTACTGTACAATTAGATTAGAAGGGATGGCAGTGCGCGGCACAGCTCGGGCCCTGCTGACACAGCCATGTTGACTCACCAGTCCCTGGGGCTGTGTCAGCATGCTGTGCACGGACCAGCTGTGCATGGACCAGTGCGCACAGCCTGCCCTTATCTTCCCCCATATATAAGCCGGCCTCTGCTGCCCTAGGGACCTCAGTTTCAACCTCTTGTCCCTAGGTCAGTAAGCCCTCCTTTGTATTGTTTCTTACCTCACTAACTAATACATTTACTTGTCCCTAGCCTTAGGTTTGAGCCTAGCTCACCATCGCTTCGGTAAGAATCAGTTGAACACCCCCAGTGTCCTTGTTTGGTTTTCCCCAGTCGCTTGACCCTAAGTCACGACACACATGTTGGGCTCTGTGACACCATCCAGCCGTGTCAACCATGGTGAGAGAGAATCCACTCCCCACTGTCATCTTCCTCGACTTTGATCACAGGGGAATGTGCCTCCACCTGCGACTGCGAGTCCTCGATGCTCGGCTTGGGAACCATGAGCAAAGAGAGCGGGTTCAGCGACCAGTAAGGGCCATAAGACACTGCCACATCTCCTGTTGGAACAGAAGAGGGAATACACAGAGAGACAACCCGGCTGTAGAGCAGCCCGGGCTGAACTCGGAAACAGATTGTTTGTCTGTGTCAGTGATGTCACCTTGCAGCCGACCACCACTATTTTGGTAATTGCTGAGAGGGTACTCACCTGGAAGAGTGTCCATGCTAGGAGTCAGTGAAGGTGCAACTTGGTGGGACCTCAAGTTGTAGTGGGTAGCAATGGGAATTTGCGACATTTTGAAGATAAGGGGTTTTGCTGGTTTGTCAAAGTCATTTTGATGTGAAAAAAGGAGTCGCCTAGAGTCGGAGTGTCGAGTTGATCAGACTTGAGTGTAGCCAGACAGAGGGCAACTGAGCAGAGGAGTTGGTTCAGTTTAAAGCAGTAGACGTTCTGTCAAAAATATCTGATGCTCGCGTTCCTTAAAAGGAATGTCGGTGGCGGCACACTAGGGAGAGTTCGCACAGCGGGCCAGACAGGTTATAAGTCTGCGATTGGGTTCCGAAGTACACTACCGAACGCAGTACAGATGAGCTCGTTAAGTACTGTGAGAGTAAGTAAAATTTACAGTTCATTTACCAAGCAAGAGAAGTTTTATGGGGCCTTGAGTCAGACCAGGACTCGGAAAGCCTATTAGCAGAGAAAGGGCGAAGATTAAAAAGGAAAGTAGTGTATTCAGTCCGGGAAAAGTCAGCCGGAGCTACCGGTCTGTCACACATATCCGAGTCACTCAACACTGTGCGCTATCGTGCCGAATGTTGCTGGCCTTGCGGCGCTCGGCCGGCGCGGTATTTTATTATAGATTGACATTTACTTATCCACGTCCATTGCACATCGACGATAGCTCATGCTACGTAGCATCTTATTGTGCTCGCGAATAAAGTCTCATGTGTTGTTGACATGGCTACGCAAAGCCCCAAGATATGATATACAGGTACTAGCAAAGATTGGGCAGAGATGCAGTTCACTTGCTAGAGATAATGGAATATGCCTCGCGTCTCATAGCTGTGCTTTTGCCGCTTCGACGGCCTGAATGTATGCCAGTCTGTAGGTGTTGGAATCCGTCTCAGCACTGCGACTGTGTGCAATCCATTTGGGGTTATCCTATGACAACGGGTGTAAAAGGCCTTTTGAGAATTGACCACGACGTTTAGACTGTTGGCACTCACCTTAAAAAGGCGCATAGTGGAGTAGTCGTTCTCCAGCCCAATCGTGAAGCGATGATAGATCCCGGCAGGCAAAATGATTAAATCTCCAGCATGCACTTCCAGGCGAATCCATTTGTCGGTGTCATAATCTGCGCAAGCAGTGCAGTGAGCACTTTGAACTGACATTGTCAAGGACAACTAGCGATGTGTACCTCTGATATCATAGAACCCAGTACCCTTGAGGGTGTACCTAATTTCCTCGTCCTCATGCATGTGCCTGAAAGATGTAGCAACTTCACCGCACAACACATAAATAATGATACATCGCGACTCACTCGCGGAAAAAAACCTCTAATTGGGCCTTCATGGCATCAACACTGCTGAAGCTTTCGATACCAATCGTGTCGCGATTCTTGTAGGTACGTTCTTCGGCTAAAGCATCAATTTGGCCTTGCCAACTGCCAGAGGAGTCGACTGGGATTTGGCGATACAGAACACCTAGCACCTGTAGCTCAGATATAGAGACTTCCTTCCCAGAGTCGTGCCGTTCACGGGGATCTCCAGGAAGGTCGTTGATAGGCGCCAAGCCCCTCTGGGCCCCGATTCACCTCTTTTCGGCAGTCGCATCCCGCCCGGCACTTCGACTCAGTCTCCCAACACTTCGATTTCGCCTTCGACGCTCTTCGACACCTTCGACGGTGCGCGACGCTTACTCGAAGCTCGGCACGGTCGTCCCGATGCCTCGCGCGTAGATCCCGGGACATCTTCCGCATTCGGCGAACAAAAGGGCCACTTGACGCCGCTCGGCCAAGCGCGCGCATCACTCCAAGCCACACCGACGTAGCCGGTCTTTCCCGATTAGGTATCGAACCTCGCGACATGCCTTCAACGACGGACACCGGTCCGAAGTGTCTCGCATGTTTCTCTTCATCTCCGCGTTCGGCATGACGTCACTCTACCGATGGACTTGATATGTGCCCCTCGGTGAGGCAGCTTCTTGAGGAACAATGCAAAGCCCCTTGTACCAGTGTGCCACTTTCGATAGTCGTAGCGTCCTGTGTAGTATAAAATCTGTCGTACTTCTCTCCAAAAAAAAACAAGATCTGGTTCCCCCCCTCAAGTTCAGAGCTCATAAGTCGAGTTCGCCCCGCGTCTAAGCTTCAACACTGCGTCACTTCGTCCCTCGCTACGTAACCTCGAAACCTCGTTCACTGCGTTTACTCGTCGATACCATCTCGACGAGCCCGTCGACTTCGACTATTGTCGAAGAAACTGCGAACCGCGCCATAGCTAAGTCCACCCTATCGAGTCGTGTCCCTTCCTTCTACGATACATCGAAGAGCTCTGCCGAGCTTCGATCATCTCCGCTAACCACCCACCGCCTCCGAGTAGCTTCGACGACGTGTCGAAGCCACCTCGTACCTTCCCCATTGTTCGTAGCCGTTTCCAAGGACGTTTCTCGTGTTCACTCGAACCGCGGGACACCTTGCTGCTAACTCCCCTCTCACTAAGACTATAATCCGTCTCTCTAGCCCCTTTAGGTCGCACCCAGGTTAGGGGTTAGGGTTTCGTAGGTCGTATCATCGTCCATGAGGAAAGCGTGCATTGCTGGTATGTACAAGGTGGCAACAGGGGGCTGGTTGTACAAAGCAAACAGGCCGAACTTGTGAGCGTGTTATATAATGAGTGAGGTGCTCACTTACCTCGGGAATCTATACTCAGCTGGGACCTGCAATGCATCGCATGCAGACAGTTCCAGATCTTTGACAGGGCGCGTAGAGTTTTGCACAGAGGAGCTGTCCACAGTATTCACGGAGCTCCGGGACTCATGATGCTTGATATGTCTAAGCTGAGAAGAGGCGGATAAGAAACCTTAATTTGATGTTGTTCATGACCACAAAGATGGAAGCTGAATCCAAGGCCAGGCGTCGTTGACCGCTCGCTGCGCAACCATCACGCTGCACTTGATGCAACCAAAAGCGGCAACGCGAGAGCCCGGAGGACCCCAAGATTATTCAACCTTCCGTGAGGATTGCAGCTGCACACCTGGTGATAGACGCGATTCCAGAAAGCCCGCCCAGGAATGGCGTGCTGACGGTGATTGGAAGATGCGACCCCTTGCCATCTTTCGATGAAATACCACACTACTGGTCCTGTGGCATTTATTCTCCAAACAAGACTTCTCAGGGCGACTTGCTGAAATTGCGCCTGTCGTTTTGAGTTACAGCTGCAGTTCGGCGGCTAGCCGCTGTGGTGTCAGCAGGCAAGCAGCTGTCATTGACGTGGCACTAACATAATCTCTCGCTTAGTACAGATATCAGATGATGGTCATCTTGGGATGTACTTGAGTCATCCTATATCAACCGCCACCAACACAGAGTTGGCCGCTGATTTCCCACCATCATTTCCTGCGAAGCTGATGGTCTGCACCAACGCCGAGGACCAAGCATTTTAAACAGCATGTCATGAAGGTGTCGGAGGATAACAGATGGCAACTTGTCATTTCAATGAAGCACATCTGGCCGGGCATCTCGGCAGTAATTAGAATCTCATGTGCCCCATGATTACATGGCCGAGTAGACGCAACATCAGGAGTAACAGAACACGGCTGGGGTGTCTCTTGAGAATCACACTAAGTACAATCCAGACTCATTAGACACTGACTTAAACATTGCACATCCATGTTTAGTATGGCGACAAGTTTGGTACAGGCCGCATCCCCGGGCCATGTTCTCGCTATCACATATGAATTGCAACGCCGTAGTATTCGCGCAGGAACAGGTGATGAGCGCAGGGACCACAGGAGTGTCAGCATCAGTGATACGCCCTGGAAGTGCTGCTAACCAACGATGTCCCACAGAAACTCCAATATTCGTGCTCGACTTCAGCTTTTAGAGGACTTGATCATGTAACGTCAATTGCCAACAGATAAGCTACGTCAAGGTTCTGTCATAATGCCTCTGAGCATGGACTGAGGTTCGTAATCTATTGTGAATTGTGCCTGTTATATGCTCAGAGCCCTCGCCCTGAAGGTTGACTTCAATGTGGCCATATAGCTGCGGGATGCGGTTCTAGGAGTCCCATCTGGGTATCAATGTGTGATGTCTAGATTTTAGGTGAACCAAGATTATGGCTGCACCTTTGATGAACATCGGATTGTAAGCAAAAGCAAGCAGTGCTGCATGACAGAATGAAGGTGGACTTCATGCTGTGTGGCTATACAGATCCGGTATGAGGGACAGCACATATAAGTGATAGGTATGATGCAATGTTATGATCTTTGCTACCAAGTCAACGCATACTCAAACCTGATCACGTAGACCGTCACCGCCTACGTATTATCATCCGATGGCGAGAATCGCGTACGTTGCCTTGGATAGAGCATACTTGGCCGCTATATGGCTCGAAACACTGTTTTATGGTACATTGCTTTGTATGATCTCTCGATTAGCCCAAAAGTTCTGACTACTGCATTATTGAACACCCAATCAGGTGTCAATACCATTCTTTTTTTCTGGTGCTTGACTATCCTCACCATTCGATGTCACACAGTGAAGATCAACAAGATCTTGGTCACAGTTGCCTTACTGATGGTCGTGTTGTCGACCAGCCACGTCTCCTTAGGATTCTACCGTCTCTTAAAGGGCTTTATTCTACTGCGCGACCAGCCTGGCGGACCTGCCGCATACTTCTCTGATATATCACGCCCGGAGAACGTAGCTAAAATCACGATACAAGGGTTGGGCGTAGGTCTTCATAAACAACATGATACATCACGAGGTTGACATTCTTTTCCCAACATAGGCAGTTGTGGGAGACAGTGTTGTGGTGCGCAATAATTCCCAGTATTGAATGTCTTCATACTCACAGAATCATAGGTGTGGCGTTGCTGGCTCGTGTGGAATCGCAGTTGGAAAATCTGCTTCGTTCCGATAATCCTTGTCATCGGAACTGCAGGAAAGTTGCTATAAAATGGCAGGAGCAATGTCTATGTACTGACACCCTCTTTAGTTTGCGGGTTAGGCCAGGCAGTTGCCTTTGCCCATGCACAGAGGTATCATGACGTATTCGTCCTACCAATCCAAATTTGGAGTGGTGCCCTCTTTGCCTTTTCCATCTCAAGTAACGTCCTCGTCACTGGTCTCATTGCTCTCCGTGCATGGTAAAATAAATATTTGCCCATCGCCATGTAATGAGACCCTGATTTCGGTTTATTGCAGGCACTTGTTACAATTAAGCCAAGGCCTGACTACGTTCCGAACCTGGAAGATCTTGTTGATTATTGTGGAATCTGGGATGATTTACTCGATCTCCGTTACATTGATGCTGTCGCTATACTATCTGGGCTCCAACAGCTTCTACATTATCTACGATCCTATCGATCAGCTCGGGGTAGGTGCTCATACTGCCTTACGTGCTCATACTGATATGCAATGCCGTTCAGACAATGATTCCGATGGCCATCATCATTCTAGCTGCTCTTGGGTTCACTACAAACAACATTGAGTCCAGGATGACCCACACGGACAGTACCAGCGCCGCAATCAGAGTGCTTCACACCCGACCATCTCATTCAGACTCTGAGGATACAGATCGAATTCCACTTCATTCTATACCATCTGCTAAACAGAACATGCTATCGGTCCTCAATGTTGATCATCGCAAAGATGAAGATGATGGCATGCCCAGGTAGCCTTTTACTTGACCAATACTAGTCGTTTCATCCCAGACATATATCAGACCAGACATGTAGCAGACTCAGAGGTTTGTGGCGAGCATCAACCAGCGTGTTTCGTAATAGGTATGCAGAGAGTTATGTCTGTACCGCCCATTGGTACCTCTTCATAGGTTGACCGTGGATCTATGCCATTTGAAACTGAATGTAGCAATGCCATGAGTTACTCGGAGACAGTTGCACCTCGAACTGGAACAACATGCATTTCGAAGATAGTATTAGGTTTCATTGAAACCTGTCAAGTTGGAACATTAAAGTATACCAACAAATAGCATCAAGGAAAGCAGCAGCTGGTGGCAATTTGGTTATATATCCAAATGTCTTCGTCTTCCGACCCCGCTCAGTAGTGAACGTGAGCAGGAAAGTGGCCTAATTTGGTCAAGCTCCTCCGCGACGGGGTATTATGCTGTGCAGTTCGCGAAATTGGTGGGATTGCACGTCATTACAACCTCATCACCGAGCAACTTCGAGGCACTGTGATGAATAAGCACCCTGCTCGGACGTGCCGCGCCATGCAAGTGCTCAGTGGAGAGAGCTTCCATGATCAAGCACGAGCATGAGAAATCAATCCTCGGTGAATGCAGGTATCTTATATGAGCATAATGCTGACTTCAAATTGGGATTGATCGTACAACCGCTACCTCCGAGACCATAGACTCTAAGTCAATCAAAGGCACTGTGTGCTCTTCCTCCTCGAATATATATGCCGTGACGAAAGGACCAACACGAACCCAGTGATCATAACAACCTATTTTCATATGAGCATCCGGGCCGCTCTGACAGAAACGGCAGTGGGAATAACGTACACCGCTGAACACGATGGGTCTGAACCACGCATCGTGCAGGTCATACAGCGCGCCCACGATAGGGGTTCCCGTGAGCATTGCGAAAGATACAGTGAAATAGGCAAGTCCCAATCTCAATCTGCACACCCATGTGAGCCAAGAGTATGAATCACTCTGAGGAACACGCACCCTATCTCATGCACACTGTTGGCGACGCTTGCAACAGTTGGAGGCATCAATGCAATCGCTGATGGTTCTACATTGAGTATCCATCGGTTATTGCATTGAGTCAAGACTCACCTGCGCCGGAGAAGAATCCGTACAATATCGAGAAAACGATGACCGTGCCAACACTGGTCACACCGAACATCGCAAATACAAGGGCACCAGCGATCAAACACACGGGCGCAAAGATATTGAATGCGCCAACACGGTCCGCAATCATGTTGGGAATAGTGTGCCCGAAGATGGAAGCAGCATTCAAGATTGCGATCTGAGCTCATGGTTGAGTGGAATGAATACGAGGGCAGCGACCGAATGACTGCACACCGTGTAGAAGCCGAGGGTCTCGGATAGGCCATGTGGATTGACCCAAAGTTGCAGGTAGAAATCTCCAATTCAGTCGGACTCAAACGGCGCTAACACAGTACGTTGTGGCTTGGGACTCACATACGTAAAACATTCCCCATAGCACCAAAAATGCTCTGGAACATCGTAAGAAATGCCCTGCCAAAGAGGTCTGACTGACTCACCCCGCGAGGAGAAGAAGGAATGGGCCATCTGCAAGAATCGACTTGACGTCGGCCTTTGGCCCTGGTGGACGTTGTTTGGCACTAGGAAGGCGAGTTGTCATGACGCAATTGGCAATAATCACGAGCCCAAGGGTAAGGAAGGCTGTTGCACGGACACCCCATGCAAACCCGACACGACCGTGCAGCATCCTGTTCAACATGATTGGGTAAATCAGGCCGCCAACACCGGAGCCTTCTCCCTAATGTAAGTCATTGCTCAATATTTCAGCTAAAGGAGCAGAGCAAACCTGTCATCACAATACCCATGGCAAGAGATCGACGCCTTCTCCAGTGGTGCGCTTGCACTGACATCGATGGCACTAACATCAGACCACTACCCAAGCCCATGCCAACACCTTGAGCAAGCATAAGCTGGTAGTACTTGTGTGGGTGTGCCAATGACAGCATGAACATGCTGTAGGATGATGGCTTTGGATGAAACTGGACCGTGACTACATATTTGACTACTCACGAGAACACGTAGAGGACGCTCCCGACAGCAAGGCTGTGGTGGAAGTACCCTTGGTCGAAGAGCTTGCCCGCTGGAAGTCCCACAAAGAACATAAGGAAGAGCTAGGGTGCTGTGTTCAGCATGATGGTATGTTGTGGCCCTCCATGAAACGTACTTGAAGAGACCCAATCCAACTGACGTTGGAAGAACTGGATGCTCCCGATAGAACATAATAGTCTTGATAGACACCGAACGAGTTGGAGTATCCAAATGTTGCTGTTAGAACGCAGAACCTGGAGAACGAGCACGTCAGTGCTACCATAGCCATTGGCACGACTGTCACACATACCCGCCGAGCACCGAGAGCCAAGCTTGCAAACCACCATCTGGGATAATCATGGCGGTGGGAGCGCGAGATGTTTCTGCTGCGATAGTGGGATCAGGTGGGGTCGTGTTCACACCATTCAGGCTCTTCTCGTCTCCTGCAAGTGGCTTCTCTGTAGACATTGCGCTGAATGAGATGGAGTACCGTCTCGGACGCGCGGAATGTCTGGCACAACGCGACCGGGTTTCTCTCCGAGATCAATAAGGTCTGAAAGCACAGTCAGGAGGACCACATAACTGAGCTTTTGCCTGCGAAGCACTAGGGCGCTCACTGCTTCCGTGGAAACTGTTCGTCACTAGCACGGCTCTTCGCGCTGCTGCCGCCTGTGTGGCCTGTCTGAATAGGCGTCACCTCCATATTGCGATCTGATCGGAAGCGATTACAGATGCCTTCTGGTGGGCGGGAGAAGATCCGTGAGCGTCGACAATTGACATGATACATAATTCAACTGTCACCAGTGACCGCTCATGACAGTGTGAGTATGAACATTATTTTCAGCCAGGCGTAGGCTACTCAGATGCCTCGCGATTGTCAATTACGATAACTGTCAGGTTGTGTGGCCTTTGGAATGTGAGTCGCTTTATGGTATGGTGTGAAGATCGAGGACAGACATCTGCGATTAATTACTAATTGGCAGTTTAAACGCCCGACTGGGATTGTAGCACCAGGTGATAATCAGCTGTAGCTCCTACTACAGCTTCCTGACAGCAGCACCAAGGTTCACGTTCGAGCATAACTTAGAGTGTTCTTGACCGGTCATGACCGGTCATGGTGCAAGGTTCACCTATTTGTGGACGTACGTTTCCACCACGCTCGCTGCTTCCTATCAGCAACATTGCTGTCTGGCTATCACACCTGGCTCCGACACATGGCAGATACCAAAGGAAGCGGCGCGTGCATATGCACTAGAGAACACTCTGTCTGCGTCTCAGGCTACAGCGCAATGATGCGCTGAACTACTTCGCCAATGTGGTGTCGCTAGAGATATTGCTCGCAGTTTCCCGATGGTGAAGTAAATGGAGGGGGCAGACTGGAAGTGACGAGGCGTCATGCGATGGGTCAGGAGTAAATTTTGATCCGGCGCTAGCATGTAACGGGCGTCTACTGAGAACTCTAATTACCTAGTATTCTGCGAGCAGCTGCGGCCAGATATTCAAGGCCGACGAGGGTGGATCATGTACAATCACAAGGAGAAATCACTATTATGGCAGAGTGACGACTATCAGAAATGCGCCTTCAGGGCGACTGGAAGCGGGCCCTTCTGTAGCACAAATAAGTCCCGCAGCTCCTCCTCCCACTGCTCCGGCCGGTATGAGTCCACCAGGCGCATTTCAAATGCCTGTACTGATACAATGGTCTATACTCCTATGTTGATGCCTGACTCGTAGACGACGAGCGAGGGCTTATGGACAGTACGTCGTCCTGAAGATCGAGCGAGGAAGTCGAGAATGACCACTACCCCAAGCGAGGAGGAGCAGAGACTTGAATGGATAACCAGGTCGAACTTAGGGTTCGACCAACTAATGGTACAACTAGTTATACAAGTACCGGCTACGCACGGACCACTGTATCTGTGTGGTCGTGTTAGTAAAGAAGGAAACATAGTGGTATGATACCAGGCACGAAGTGCGCACGGACCCCATTATGTAAGCTACATAATGTTCAACCTGCGGGTGAGCGCTAAGACAGGCGCCAGTATGGGCGCTAGTAGTACAAGGAATAGAACGGAAAGACAAATGTTTCATTACCCCCCTGCCAGAGTCGAAGTCCCATTCGACTACTTACTGCTCACCATCTCCGTATAGCTCCCAATCTACGCCGTCATCCTCTTCTTCGTCGAACCACTCCTTGCGCGCATTCCTCCCCACGTTCATCCATTCCTCGCCAGAGAGGTGCTTCTGATGCGGCCAGGAGCTGTCCCACGTCCATTGAGTGGTGTCGGGTGTCCAGTCGGGGTCGACTTTGCGAAAGACGACGGGTGTATCGGGGCGGGGGCGTGAGGGTCCCGCAATGGGACTGGTTGGGGGTTCGGGGTTAGTGCTGCGCGGTGGAGGAATAGGTACTGCTTTCGTCTGCCTCTCTTTCTCCTTCCTCTCCTTCGCCTCGTTGATGATTTCCTCGAGGAACACGTTGTCGACGACCACCCCCACGCGT